AATCATAGAATTTGCAGGGAAATGGATGGCATTAGAGCAGATTATGCTAAGTGAAGCTAGCCAATCCCTAAAAAACAAATGCCAAATGTTTTCTTTGATATAAGGAGAGTAACTAAGAACAGAGTTGGGAGGAAGAGCATGAGAAGAAGATTAACATTAAACAGGGACGAGAGGTGGGAGGGAAAAGGAGAGAGAAGGCTCAAGCGGTAGCGCATGGGTGCGGCCCGGGTTCGATCCTCAGCACCACATACAAAGAAAGATGTTGTGTCTGCCGAGAACTAAAAAAAAATAAATAAATATTAAATATATATAGATAGATAGATAAATGAATACATATGTATATATAAATATATTTCAAGAGATTGAGGCAGGAGAATTGCAAATTCAAGGTTAGCCTCAGCATGCTAGTGATATCCTTCCTCAAGAAGAAAAAAAAAAGTGGGCAGTGGGTGCTAGGTATGTAACTCAGTGGTAAAGCACCTCTGAGTTCAACCCCTAGTACTATAAAACGAAAAAAAAAAAAAAAATATATATATATATATATATATATATATAATATTGTGCACCTGTCATGTGAAGGTATTAGGTGCTTTAGAGCAATACTTTAGACTTTGTTGATAATGCACCCATCAAGAAAGATTTGTATATATCAAGCTAACATTTTTACATTTGTTTATAAACAAACTGCTCTTGTGTTAGTATATTATTTACATTATGAAACATACACCAAGAAATTAAAATGAATGAAATTTCTAATTATTTTCTTTCCCCCTTACTGAATTAGAAGGTATCAGGATCTAGAGAGTGCAGTCTAACAGAACACAGACCCACTTCCCTTTTGGCAAGTTGTAGTCTCTCTGGAGGGCAAGTGTGGAGACCCAGTGAAAGCCCCAAGTGATCTATGCCTTTCCTCCTTCCATCTCTCTGTTTCAGGCCCCCAGTGAGCAGGGCCCCTCCACAGCCAGAGAAACTTCAGACAAATAATGTTGGCAAGAAGAAAAGACCCATAGAGGTAAGGAAAACCCACTCCTTAATGTTATTAAAATGTATCCAAAGTTTCTTTTTATAAAACACCCAAGTCTTTTTTTTTTTGTCCTGTGAATGAATAAGACTTTTATTCTGTTATGTGGATCTCCTCCTCTCCTAATAACTACATTTGCCTTATCAATCAATCAAATTATGAACAAAAACTAATAAGTAGAATATAAGAATTCATATGGTGACTTCCCAAAAATGAACCTGTTTTGTACTGAGAACTCAGTTTTTAGTGAAGCAAGAAGACATATTCCTTCAAGTTTACCCATCACACAGTATTTTAATGCTCTTGCTCTCATTCTTTTCCCAAAAAAAAGTGCAAATGAAACTCATTAGCTGAAGACAAAGTACAAATGAATGAATTCCTCACTAAACCCAATCCCAATAGACTCTACAGGTGTTTTCTAAAGAAAATTAGATACCAATTATGAATGGGATTGTTCAGACCCTGAACAAATGACATAAGTACGGACACCAGTTCTCACAACTTGGCACATTCAACCACATATGAAAACATTTCCATCTGAGTAGTACATCTGTTAGATTAAGTCATGTACTTACAGGAGAATTTTTTTAAATACAACTGAAAATTAATCATTTCTTCTTACATTAATATACCAGGAATTGCTGTAATAAAATATATAAGCAACTGACTCACATACTCCAATAATAAATACTCTTAGGTAATCTTCAGCCTAAAGCAAGCCTCCATTTATTGACTGCTTACAGTACAGTGATTTTTATATCTTAGCTGGTAATCAAAGATGGTTATATATTAAGTGAGAGAAAACATCATCTCTCTTCCAGATATCACCTCTCTGAAATCTGGGAAAATTCAATTTTAAGAACTATAACTGCATCTCCTGGTGGCAGCTGTCACCCTGAGAACAGGAACAAGGCAAAGAAAGTATACAGAACTTTGATTCTCCTAC